TAGTGATGTAACGAATAGTATATTCGGCCTCAGGCCGAATACCGAATATTCGGCCAGGAGTGTGGCCGAATAGCCGAATATTCGGCCAAACTATTCGGCTTGATTAACGCACGTACGAAAATTGGCGCGCAAAATCGCATTATATGGCAAGGATCGCGCACCCTGTTCTCTATTGGCCCGCTGTCACTACACTTCTTCAATCGCGTTAATTCTTGACAGTTGTAGCGGACAGACATGAGCGTCATGGCAGTATGTTATACAAGTGCTGTATTATTTAAATTATTCTTTCGCAGGAGGGAACAATTGCTCCCTGGTATACTTCTGTCTAAGCAAATATGATGATGATATCATTCTTTCGCAAATAATATACCTATAAGTCCATTGGAAAATTGTGTAAATTAGGTGCCTAACGTAAAGCATAATTTAGTACAAGATATAACAACACGGTGGAATTCAACCTTTTATGTGTTAGAAAGGCTTCTTGAACGAAAACGAGCTATTTCCCTCTATCTAACTGATACAGCAAACATCTAATCTGACTGCAGAGCAGTGGGAGATTGTAGACCAATTACTGAAATTATTAAAGCCATTTGAAAAGATAACAAAAATTACTAGCTCAAACTACTCATGCTTATCTGAAATTATTCCCCATGTTGTTACTCTTAACCGCTACTGCAACAAGGCCGTGTCTTCTGACCTAGCACCTAAATTAAAGTTTATGGCGATCGCCATGCAACAAGGGATAAAACAACGTTTTTCACAGATTGACGATAATAAAATCTACCTGATATCAACTTTGTTAGATCCAAGGTTTAAGACGAATTTCTTCACGAACCAACTGCAAAAAGAAAGAGCCCGGCAGTACATTCTGGTTGAAGATTTAGTTTCAGACTATGATACCAGCAGCGATGAAAGCGTGCGTTCTTCTCCCGTGCAGTCTAAACGTAAAGGAACCGATGAGCCTGGACAAAGCATTCGCACATCTTTCTGGGAGTGCTATGATGAAGTAGTTGCTCAGAACTTTACCGATAATGACAATGGAGTCGGAATAGCTTCTACTTCAAAGAACATCATAGCAGGTGACCTTGATAAGTACTTGAGCATGAGAACTTTAAAGAGAAACGACGATCCATTTGCCTGGTGGGCTACACATAAATCTAAGTTTTCCCAATGTTTAGTCAAACTGGCTGCTAAGTACTTCTCAGCTCCTGCAAGCAGCATGTATTCAGAGAGGCTTTTTAGTGATGCAGGAAACGTATACGAAGAAGAGGAACAGACTTCTTCCCAAAAATGCGGAAAAGTTGATTTTTCTGCACCATAACCTACCACTTATTGACTTCAGTTATAGTAAATAATTTTGTACAATGAAACAAAACAGTTAATTTAATTTTCAAGTTTATAATAAAGGATGATTTCATAAAATTACAGATCATTAATTATTATTTTTTCACATTTTATGACCTAAGTTTCGATCTAATGTGCCCACGCAGTAAAAATTTTCATACAAATTTTTTACCCTTTTTCACTCCTTTAGGGTTTAATTTCGTAAAATCTTTTCTTAGTACGTCTAAACTTTACAAAAGGAACACACCCTCAAATTTTTAAGATTCTAGCACCAGTAGTTTTGGCTCTGCGTTAATTATCCTATCAGGACTTGTTCTTTTATATACGGGTATATAGATGACTAAACTACATAATAAGTAGGTAGTTTTCATTTGATTTGTTACCCTTTTTTGATCTCTTAAAAAATAACTTAGTTATATTACTTTTCCTTTGATCTTTTACATAAATAAGCAAAAAATTGCGCTTTCTCGATCTTGAAATGTATGTTCAGCATTGATAAAAGTTACCAAAATGATTAATTTACTGTGTTTTGTTATTTCTTACTCCTGTTTTTAGGTATTCGGTATTCGGCTGAATAGTGATTAAATATTCGGTATTCGGCCGAATAGCAAAAAATAGGCCGAATACCGAATAGTGGCCGAATATTTGTTACATCACTAATAAATATCCAGTTTAGGGTGATAAAGTTTTTAAATGACTATAATTTGCATCATAACAGATATACTCTTGTAACTTTATTACAATAATAAACAATTTACTAAAAAATAAATTCATGTATAATAAAATTCCTTAATCATGATAATTTCATTACTGTCAATTGGAATTACTACTTTAGTGCACTACACCTCATGAAATTAAGTTGTAATAATTAAGAGAATTCTGAATTAGTCTTTCACTATTAGATGAAATATTTTCTTTATAATGATTAGATGTTTAGTAAATATGAACAATAAGTCAAAAATATATATATTAAGATCATGCTAATCCAAACCCCAATAGTCAAAAATTTCAATTAATCCAAATGACAAAAACAATTTTTTTTTTAATGTATGGAATTTTATAGTAACAGAAGATTTTCTTCCTCTCTCTTCTTCATTAAGATCTCTGAATGATTAAGCTCAAAAGTGCTAAGGAGTAACAATCCACGAAACTTTTTTATAACAGTGTTGTGTCTGTAGCAAACTTCACAAACGTTTTCGACGTTTGTTACGGAGACAACACTGTTATAAAAAGGTTTCGTGGATTGTTATTACTCAACGCAGTGTTAAGTTATTAGAAGTCGTTTTGTGCTAGGGAGTTTCTGGATTTTGTAAGACAAAATAGTAGTTTCTTTTGATGTCATTCGTCTTCAAACTGTTTGTTTGTTATTAATTGTTCAGGTTCCATAAATACAGTTTAACCCGATTATAATGTCATCCATTGGACCGGCAATTTTCTGACATTATAACCAAGTGTTGTTATCTGCAGGGTCATAATTTCAGTTCCATAAAAAGTACCAAGTGTGTTTTAGAATCTATTATAAAATCCATTCTAATTTAACATTGTATGTATTACCATAAAATTATTTCTTAATGGTAATACAGTATACTGTATTATGATAATAATAATTTATTATCATATGTATAAAAGTATAAACTAAATGTTTAAATCAACTTTATTTACATTATTTGTCTAAGTTTATATCAATGTAATTAAAAATTTTTTAAATTAACTTTTATAAGAAATTTCTATTTGTCTCGAGTTTTGATAATGGTGACACTTCTGATTTTGAGAATAATGTCAAATCAAAAGGCAACAAAAGGTTAAACTAATATATGCCAATTATAAAGACACAATAACAATATTCACTTAAAAAAAATCAGTTATTTTAGATTGTAGGTGTTTTTCACCTAAAAATTGTTTATCAATGTCATTTTCTAAATCATACACTTTATTTATTATTTTCAAAGAAGTTTTCTGAGACATTTTCAATAATCTTATTGCATTGCGGCTTCCCTGGTTGACAGTACTTCATTTTCTTTGTCTGATGTTTTATCTTCATCATTCTCATTTTTTTTGTCTGAAGATTTAATTTGCTCAACAATATCTGCATCTGTATAAAATAACACAAGTAACTATGCAGATTGGACATCACATGTGATGAACCTCACCCCACCAAAGTCAGGTGGTGAGAGTACCACCCACAGTCATTATAGGAAGTGGACTGTGACTCTACATAGTACATGTACTGTATTTTCTTTGTTAAATAAAATTTGTAATCTAATTTTGTAAATCTGGGAATGCTTTAAATATGATGTTAAAACAGGGTTTTATGTTGTTACAAGTGGGTTTTTTAACATAATCTAGTATAGTAAAATCATGGGACCAATAAAAATTTGATGTTATATTAGGGTTGTCATTACATCCAATGACATTGTAATCGGGTTAAACTGTGTATCTTTTTTGGCTTTTAACTTGTCATATGAAAGCTTGGAAAACTTGCTGCAGAAATAGGAGTGACATCTCTACTTTGTGAAACTTTTGTCAAAACATTAGTTAAATGATTTTATGAAGAGTTTTTTGACTCTTGAGTATAGATTGAACAATTTTATTCTGGAATTTTCTTTCCTGCTTAAATCACATTGTTATAAAAAGTGTATGGAATAAGCAGTTATTTATTGTGACATCATCATAATGCCATGCTGGAATTTTTAAATTAATCATATTTTTAATTTATTTAACTTAAAATATGTGCTCTCCACTTCAAATTAGTAGTGGGTTTGCCCCTGTATATCATACTTTTCCATTAGCAATGGTGTCATGCTGGTCATCTATCTAACATGTTTCAGAGGAAAATTTTTGAATTGAAATAACATGACTTCCAGTTTGTATCAGAAGTAAGTTCGTATATAGTTAATTGGAACCTCCTGCTTCTAACGTTTCCATATCTGGTCTCGTCTTTCATCTATCTAATGCCGTTCTTGAGATTAAAGAAAGACAAACAGATGACAGTAGGAACTTAAGGTCTACAATTTTTTCAAATTGCAACCCAATAATGCAAATATATTTCTACTGTTGTAGGAAAACTGTACAGTATATGATAGAAAAAACTAACAGGATTTTTTGTTATTCATACTGACTTAACTAGCTAAGAACAACTATATGAAAAAACCTTGTATGTTCTGTAACTACTTATACTTGTACAGTACAGTACTATAGTTTGATCACATAGCTATGTTCATCTGAGATCTTTTCAAGATTGACAAAAATTTTTGATACATACAAAGCTATATTTGAAACTAAAACAAGTTACTTGTGTTTTATACTTGACTAGCTGTTACCCGCAGCTTTTCCCACGAGGATTTTGCAAGCAACCCCATTTATGTTCAGTATTTCAACAACCATAGTAATTATTATATAACGCCTACCTCTGAGAATCAAACGAACTATTTTCAATTTGATCAATTTTCTGGAATGTTTACAATCGTTCTAAAATCGAACCAATATGCAATAACAAATTAGAATTTAAAACTGTTCAAACATTTTTAAAATCAAAATAGATTAAAATATTTATAACAATGTATGAAATGTTATCAATTTAATACACCTAATTACTCAATGAAGACTAAATGTAGTTGAAAACAAAAAATTGCATCTAAAATAGTACAGTAGAAGCCATTTTTTTTTTTGAGTTCAGCCTTAATTCTCTCCCCCCTGTGGAGAATTTCGAAAAATCCCTTCTTAGTGTGCATTTTTATGACGTATCCTAACTGTGTACCAAATTTCACCTCTTTAGGTTCAGCAGTTTACTCTGAGCGATGATGAGTCAGTCAATCAGGACAAGTAATTTTATATATTTAGATAACTGTAAAATTTCTATTATACCATTACACAGTTTTAGCACAGTTTAGTAACTGCAGTTTGATAGCAGCTCACATGTCAAAAAAGTAAATAAAATTTTGTTCTAATGCAGTCTTTATTTTTAATAGTTTTTTTTTTATTAAATATTTGATTATCAATAAGGAAATATATGCTACTATTTAGTGGTATGAATTATTTATTTTTTTTTCTTTTACTTTCATTGATTGAGAAAATCTGGTGTGATAGAAAAATAGATATTTCTGAAATCTTCATAACAGAATTATTTAAAAAAAATGCACACTGTTTACAAATTAGCAAGCTTCATTTTATAGATTGGTGGTGTTTAGTTTTTCTGAAAATTAATTAAAATAAAAGTATAAATATGTGTTTGTTGAAATGTTTGAACATATTTTGTTTTATTTAAAAGTAAATATATATTTTTTTTAACATGAAATGTGTGTGTGTGTACATGTTTTTCTTGGTGATGATTATAAATTTTGCAAAAATATTCTTCTCTAATAATTTTATGTATTTTTATTTTAAGTCATTTTTTAAAAACATGATTTATTGCTACATTACAGATCAGCTTTTTGTCTGCTTTTTGAAGAACATTATTGAAATAAGCTGGGATATGAATCATCACTTATTACTTTCATATATAAGTTGTTAGGAAAACAGGTTTAGTATAAATTATCAAACTTTAATTAAATAATTACTTTTAATGGCAACATGTTTTGATGTGTCTTCTAAATATTATGTTAATTTTATTGATAATATAAAAATGTTTATTTTTTAATAATAATTTAGAATGGAATGTCAATATGTTGCTACACAGAGAGGAGGAATAGCCCTTCTTTTTGAAGGCCACAGATATAATAAAGTTCGTGATGGTAAAGAAGGTACTGTTTATTGGAGATGTGCCAGAGATCGACAGTGTCCAGGACGAGCAGTGACTGTTTATAGCCGCATAAAAAAAGCAAATAATAAACACAATCATCCACCTGATACTTGGAGGAATAAAGTGGACCAAGTCGTGTCAGATTTAAAATTACGTTCTCAAGAAGATGTTACTGCCTTACCTACTCTTTTTACTGAAACATTGAAATGCCTCGCTGCTAATCCACAAATGGCTACACTTGCATCAATGGTGCCATCACTTCCAGCTCTTAAATCATCATTATATAGGACAAGGCATAGAGGAATGCCAACATTAGTGCCATTTAGAGATTTCTGTCCAGATGATGAATGGACACTTACAAATAGTATGTTAATTTTTTTACATTATTTAAAATTATAGTATTTTCAATAAATGTTTGCCTGTTTATTTTAATTATCAAAAATTCAAAATGATTAAGATTTGATTTTAATTAAATTTGATGTGATCACTGAAAATTTTTCTGGTATTCAGTTTTACTTTATTTTCTTTTCTTTTGCTTATTGCTTTATTGCTTCCTGTATGTAGAAAGGTGTAGAGTAAATAGTGCTTTGTGCCGTAACAGTAACAGCATGCTGGCTTGCTGTAGTACTTTCTTTTTGTATGTTGTTATTGGATGGTTGTAGGAAGAGAAGAAAACTTTTTATCATCTGCTGAGGCAATACTTTGCATGTGCAGTTCGATTTTGTCCCCTTTCATGAAGGCTATTTAGATCAGCAGTCCAGAGAGAAAGAGCCAAATACAAGTGAGTAAAATCAAACAGCTTTGTGTTACCTTTTTTCCCCTGCTTGTTGCTTAACTAAGTGTGCATGTGATGGGGTGTAAAGTGTTATTATTTTTATCAATATTGATATAAAGAAAATTCAATTTTAAATTGATTTATAATATGTTGTTTACAATAAGTAATATAGGATGATCAAAAAGCCGTTTTTTCAATATTAATTTCATAAAATATATTTAAAATTGTTAATGTAAATGATATTTTTAATAATTAAGTAAATCAAGTAATTCAAATCAATTCAATCAAGTAAAATCAAATTATGAACTATTTGGATTTGTAATCTTTCTGTAATTACTGTATTTTTGCAGAATGATCAGCATGCTGGTCTATCTGGGGAAGACCATGAAATCAGATATTTCCATATGGTGGTAAAAGCTGGCATGACAGTTTAAATGAGGTTGTCTGTTCCTCTTGCTTTGCATTAAAAAACCAAGTTACATCATGTAAAAATAAGCAAGTTTTTATTCTAAAACTGTGAAACTGTCAGCATTACATCAAAAACTACAATTTATATTTAATTTCTTCATTTTGTCTTTCCTAATGACATAAAATACTTGTAGAATTCCAAATGTGCTTTTTTTTTTTTAACATTTGTAACAATTAGTTTTGTTACATCTGATTAATTTTATTTTTTAGTAGCAGTTTAACTTGCATGCTGATCTCCATTTATGTGGCATGCTAGTCATTCTGCAAAAGTATGGTATAAAATTTATAATTTACAAATATTAATCATTAATTCATATTTAATAACTTTTTGATCAATCTATATAATTACATCATATATACAGGGTGTTCAGAAATTCCCGGTTCAAAAATGGTACATTTAATCAAAATATTATGTACTCACTCCCCTCTACAAGTTCTAGAAGTTTGTAATGGGAATTTCCAAACACCCTGTGTGTGTGTATCAATCATTTATCATTTCTTAGTGTACTTTAAATTTTTATTTTAAAAAAACATGTGCTCAGCCATCAAATGTTATTTCCTACATATTGTTTATAATTATGGGGAAGTAACTTGATCCCACATAATTACTGAACAATTTTATCATTTCTCAAGGAACATAGTTTAAATGTCAAAACTTTTAAACTATAACTAGTAACTAGTCTCTAGTGTATAATATAACTAGTCTCTCTGCTACTAGCCTGAGTAATTAACTGAATATAAATTTATTTTATATTGATAAAGAAGCAAAACTAAATTAATTACTTTTTAAGTATATTTTTTATTTGATAAGCAGATAAGATTTTTGTTAATATCTAATTTTATTTAAAATGCTTTATTACAAAGAGCTTATTTTAGTTATAGATCTTGATATCATTCTTTAACTATTTCTAGTCTTAAATCAAATTTGAAATGGATGAATAAAACAGTACTAAAACTGTAAGCTGCTTTGAGTTTAATTTTTAAAATTTTTAATGTTTTTTTATGTTGTTGATATCATATTCTTTTTTAGTGTCTTCACATGACTAAACAATATATTTATTCCATTTAAACTTTTAAAAATCATTTCTATAGTCACTTTAGTATTTATTAATAATAATAATTTTTCTTTCTTTTATAAAGTAGTTAAATACATTTTCAGATGGTTGTCATTTGGAATTATGAAATACAAATAAGTTTTATCAGTATATTGATCAATTGATATTTATGATTATTAGCTGATATCCAATATTTTGTATTGGTTATCAGCTAATAATCAAATATATCACAGGTTTTATTAATGTAGTATATTTAATAATATATTCAGTAAAAATTGTATACTTATGCTTTGTTGCTTGTGTTCCATTAACAAATGAGTTTACTCTAATGTCTCAGATGCCACTGTTTTTTCTAAAATTGTAAAAGTTTGGCATTACTTCAAAAACTAAGATTATATCTTCAATTTCTGCATTTTGTCTACTATCTAACAATATATAATGCTTATGGAAAAAAGTTTTTTTTTATTTATTTTTTTTGTAATTTGATCCATATATGCAAAAAAATAAACAGATCAAATTTCAACTTGATATGTTTAAAAGTTACAAGGATTGACATTAGGTTTGTATTAAATTTCACTGAAAGGTATCTTTCAAGATCAGGTAATAAAGCTTTGTTCATTCTCTCCCAGGAAAGTAATAGACACAGCCACATCTCCTATTGTGAAGGTCAATAAACTACTGTTCTATTGTATTCAGGAGGATGATTTTTTTTTTTAAATTTGACAACTAGTGTTGCCGGGAGTGAATTCTATAATTTTACTTTTAATTTTTTTTCCCACAATAGGTATCTGATTTTTGAAGCAGCGTGACTAACTTCAAAAATACACATTGCTCAAAGTATTTCAGAAAACAAAAAAATTGTGGCTAATTGTTCAAACAGGAATGTTTTCTATGAGAAATGAACCAACTGAAAAGTAGCCCATCAAAAATTTGGCAATTTACATGCCAAATGCCAAATTAAAAGCTTAATAACTTAAAAAATCTTAATATTACCAAAAAAACATATGGGTTTAAGTAACTGAATGAAGTTGTTCATAACAAAAATTTTAATTGTTGCAAAGTTGAAAGTATTAATTAATTAATACAGCATTTGAATAAAATGTGAAATTAATTGCAGCAATTCCTTTTTATATGCAGCAGAAATTAATGCAGCTTTAACAGCTGTTTTTACTTAACATAAATATGTTTTTCTTGGAAAATAAGGTGTTAGTGAATTTGGTATTTTTGTTTATTAAAATAAAAATATTTGTTATTAACCGAAAATTTGTCTTAGTAAGGAGTGATTGTTCAGTCAAGTACCAAGGTACCACTGTACTTGATTGATGCAATTTTCATATATGCAGTAGCATCAAGGGATTAATTAACTACATTAATCAAGGGATACCTGTATATGAAAGTGTTTAAATAACTTGCACTATAAACCTATTGTCCTGTGTCAGTAATATGTACACTGCACAAATGTTTTTGGGCTCCTCCTGAGTCTTGCTATCAATGTTGTTTTGTTGATAGAACACAATCACAGAAAAATAAAAATTTGAATGTCTGTTAAAAAACCAAACAAAATCCAATATCTATTAAAAATCAAATCAATAACATAGAGTTTAAATTAAATATGTTTGAAATACATGATCTTAAAATAATTCAATATAAAAATCAGTATACTTTTTTAAAAATATTTGCACTACTCAAAATTATGAATGTATCAAATCATTCAGATGATACTGACTGAAAATTTGTTGCTATGAATATCTTGAAGAATCATTTAAGAATTTACATATGATGTATTTTATATTATAAAACATTTGTTATAACTTTATGCATAAAGTACTAGTATAAGCATAAGAAAATCGGACAAATTAATTGGGCAATATTATGCTACAATTAAGAATTAAAAATTGTCAGTAGAAATTAGAGGTAGACATTAGGTGCCATCTCTTATCAAAAGCAGGAACTTAATATAATTTAGAATAGTCTGGAAGAGAAGAATCAGCCCAGACCAGGAGTCGAATTATTTAATAACATTCATATAAGAATGTGCTTGGTGTTTGTCAGCCATATTGTTTTTGCTTTGGTATATGTATTTTCAATCTTGTTTTTAGTAATCATCTGTTAATATTGACTACTTTCATTCATCTGAGTATCACCATTGTAATCTTCTTCAAAAACCTCATAATTTTCAATTAAATCATTAAGGTCACAATCGAGTAATGACAGCATCCACTTTGCAACTCCCAGAGCACAGGTTCTTAAATATTTTTATAAGGAAGACAGATATTGTGTCTTATAAGTTATTATAAGATAACTGCTATAGTAATGCCAGATTAGCTTATGATTTACTAAAACTTTTCAAAATTTTAACAGAGTTAATGAGTGACATTTTCAATGAAAACAACAAATGTGCTAAATAAGGAAAAAATAAACAAAAAAAATTTTTTTGAAGCTGATGACTTTTTTTACACTCTTGGCCACAAAAGAGCTGGAAGAAAAAGTTGTCTTTTTTATTTATCTATATTAACATTAATTTTTTTTATATTATGCAATAACTTGGAAGATTTTTGTAATTGCCCCTTCTGCTGCTAGAAGCATCCTACACAACTGAAATTATACCATCTATTATTTCATTAACTGATCTCTAAGATGATACGTAAAACTTATGAAAATGAGAATCAGTCCAAATAAGCACTACTTGTTAGCACTTCTTTATTCTGTATCATTGTTTGGCTCAATGAATGGAAAAAATAACCATAGGTTTGTTGTCACTTTACAGAAACAATCACAACAAGAAATTTTGCATCCTGGCTGCTTATAAAGATGTTCTAGTATTTTAAAAAATGCCACAATGAGAAATCAGTATTTGATTGTTAAAAAAATGACCAAACATATTTCAGAATTATCAACATACCATAATGCATCATTGTAAAAACAGCATGGAGTCATTTTTATCACAAACATACTACAATCTGCCATCTTAACCACATTGAGGAAGAATGGAGCCCACTTCACAGTCAACTCAGTTGTCTGTGAAGTGGGCTCCATTCAGTTGTAAGCTGGTGTCACATCATCGAA